GGTACTATCAAGCAAAGCAGAATAGAGTAAAATCAGTCAAAACAAGATGGTGAGAGCAATACAGGGTTTCAAATCAAGTTAATAGGAAATCAAAGTGGGTTACTATAATGTATCCTGCTATTTTTAATTTACTTTTCATTAATTAAAAAGATAAAAATAAATAAATAAAGGAGACTGAGATAAAAGAGGACATAACAACAAAACAGCACAGGTCAGAACATAACATTTAAGTGAAATAGTGTTTCGCCACAAGATATCCCGACATAAAAGTAGTTACGATAGTATCTCTTTCCTTGAAAGCCTTGAGTATAACTTTGCATACTGTACCATCAAACATATCAAGACAATGTAAAACCATTAAAAAGAATGACAGTATTACAGGGTACTTAGAACCAACTAACAGAAAATGAACAATGGTTTCTGTATTATCTCTTTGTCTATAAAAGTTTTTGTTTATATTATCACATATAATAAAATCCAATAAGATACAACCTGTTAAGACCAATGGAGACAGAAGAACAAAAGCTTGATGGGACTTAAAGCAAGATGATATTAAATCAGCACTAGCTATTATGATGCCTTGTTTTCTCCAAAATAGCTGTTCATATCATCCAACATTCTCTGCCTCATTTCCATTGAGCTCTTTTTCTGTCATTAGTTGTCAGTTTGTCTTCTTTATTTCGCTTTCTGCTTCATTCATTGTGGCCTCTCTGCACTGTTTCTGGAATCTTGGTATTTTTCTCTTTTAGAATGTCCTGCGCTATTCTCTGTAGAGTTGAACTGGCGGTTACAAATTCACCTAGTTCCTCTTTATCCTGGAAGCACCTTGTTTCTCCATTGATTTCTAGGGACATTTGTGCAGGATATACCAATCTTGGCTGAAGGTTATTGTCTTTCAAAGCTTGAATTATTTCGCCCCACGCTCTTCTTGATTTGATGGTTTGTGCTGAGAAGTCTGATGTAATTCTGATGGGTGTTCCCTTGTAAGTGATCTGTTTCTTGTCTCTGACAGCTTTTAATATTCTGTTCTTATATTGGATTTCTGGAATTTTGATTATTATATACCTGGGTGTAATTCTGTTTGGGTTGTAGGTGACTGGGGTCTTGTATGCCTCATAGATCTGAGTATCTTTACATTTTCCCATATTAGGGAAGTTCTCCTTGATTATTTCTGTGAGTAGCCTTTGCAGTTCATTTGTTTGTATCCCTGCTTCTTCCTTTTCATTCTTAATTCTTAAGTTATAGATCCTCTTATCATCTTCTAGCCTTTGTATTGTTACTGCTTGTTTCCTTGTTATTTTTAAGAAGTTTTTCCTTTCATGCTCCCACATTACAAATCTGTCCTCTAGTTCAGATAATCTATCCTTAGTTTCTTTCAAGCTGTTATGCCAGCTTTCAATAGTTTTTAGTTTCCTGGTAATCTCTTTGAACCTGCTTCATATAGTCTATGTTTTCTCTATTTTCTCCATCAAACAATTCTCCCCTTTGTGTCTGTTCTTCCATTCCACCATCTGTTTTTTCTTGGGAGGTGCTTAGCATTTCTTTAACTATTCTACTTAAATACTTCACTTTTGAACTCATCTGTGAGGTCCCGGAGATATCGCTTTATGTCTATTGGTGCCGTGCCTGATATTACATGTTTTCTGTCTTCATTCTCCTTTGCATTTACCTTTCCTGGATCAGTGTCCTCAGGATTGGAGACTGAGGACCCTTTCTTGTTGCTCCCTCTTCCCATACTTTTTGTTCCTTCCATACAAGCATATATAGGAGGCCCAGTTTCTTTCTTTGTCGGTTACAGTTTGTTTAAATCACGCTTGCTAGGTGTTCCCGCCCAGTGCAGTGTACTAGGGAGACACAGACCTGGGCAGCCTATGCTGGACTCGCCCTCCAGGTCAGTCAACCTGCTGAAGGCTTCACTGCATTAGGGTGCACTGCCAGGCACAGGGACCTGGTTTGGGCTAGCCTACTGGGTCTTAGTCCGCAGCATCACCCAGGTCAAGTGCTCCCCACCAATCCCACTTGAGAGGGGAATATGTGACTGAAGTCACTGTAGCTCCTATTCCAGCTAGTCTGCCCGGTCCCAGAATGTCCTCTGTTGGAACCTACTAGTCCATGGAAGGGTCCCCATTGCTCTCACTCACTGCAGGTTAATGAAGGCTCCTCACCAGCTCTGCTCTCAATTTGGTTCACTGATTCCCACTCTCAGAGCTTTCACATCTCTATCCCTGCTGTGCCGATACAGATGCAGCAGTAGCAGCAGGAAATTCAAGCCACCGTTTCCAGAGGCGCGGGTTCCAGCTTCAGCACTGAGACTTTGGCTGTTCTAGTTGTAGCACTGGGATTGCATTTCCAGTTGGTTTCTCTCAGCTTAGTTCATTCCTGGGTCGGCAGGGTATATCTCCCCCTGCTTAGGACTCCCCACACCGCACTATTCCTGGAATCTAAGCTGGCTACCTCAGAGAGCCTCCATAGCTGCTGTTATCTATCTGCCATATTCTCCCAGAAGTCCCTTGGCTTATATTCTTACTGCTGCTTCAAACGTTTCCAGGTTGTCAGACTAAACTTGCACCCCAGTCAGGGCCCTACTTGTCATTGGGGGTTTCACAGGCCCACCTGAGTTGCTCTAGATGGAGGGAAGGGTCACTGTCACTCTCATAGGCCTGTTGGGATCCTCTGGATGGAGGAAGTGGTCACCATGCTTTTGTGGTGACCACTGCCAAGCTTCTCCAGTTAAGGGGAGGGGTCCCTAGCAGTCTTGCCAGCCTGCTAAAGTCCTAAGGGAAAAATATTTTTGATCCACACTAAAGTTGCAGTAATTCTATGAATTGTTTTATCCTGTAAACATGCACAGTGTCACAGTGTGTGCTTCTATGGAAGCATAGGCTAATAAGATTTCCAGATCTGTCTCTTTTACATGTCTGTTTACTGCAGAACAGTTCTCTGTTTCACCATGACTTAGAACAATAATGACATCTGTGTCCAGCTTTTAGTACTAAGAGCACCTTCCATATGGCGGTAATTGGCAGCCTTAAGGAAATAGATCAAATCTTACTTCCTAGATCTAGATGTAATCGTACACACTCAAGCTAAATGTGTTTGGTTACAATTTCATTTCTTACTCTAACAGTGTGTATTAAAATGTTACACAAGTTTAGTTAAAATGAGAAAAAGCAGTTTGCCTTCCATTTCTGGAACATAATGTGACTATATGAAGCAATGGATTACTAACAAGTGGTAGGCATTCAGTTAAGGTCCACTACATAAAATCACATGGTTCCTGGAACATAGGATAGTGGATTAATGTCTCATCATATACCTAAAAAATATTGCTAATTTGTACTCACATGTTTTATCAGAAGTTTAAAATTTTGGGCATTTATAGGTAAGCAACATTTCAGATAAATTTAAAGTTAGGCTCTGGAAAAGACTCAAATATTCTGTCTTCATTATTAAGAACTGCAAGGAGTACAGAATAAACACGCCTAGTCTTTGTATCACTTTGTATGCTAGGAAATGAGCATCCAGCACACACACGTGAAACTGTACCTTTTCTCGTGATGCATCACTGCATGATCATAGACGTAGATGTATGTCAGTGCATACACTGGACAAAGACCTTGTTTTGATTTTTTTAAAAGCTGAACTATTAGAGTCAAATGATCATCTTCAGCATACTTCTTGTTCCTTCGTGGTAAAAACAGTCAAAATTGTTTGTTACTTTGCAATATACAATGCATTCCTCTTAATTACAGTCAACCCTACCGTGCAATAAAACACCAGACCTTGCCCCTCAGCTTTAACTAGAGTATTGTAGTTTTTCATCAGCCTCTCTGCTTCCTCATGGCAGCCGTGGTAACCACATTCTCTCGATACCTATGCAGTCAGCCATAGATTTCACAGATGAGTCAGGTTGTGCAAGGTCCATGTGTGTGCCTAGCTTACTTTGCTTCACGTCCCCCGGGCTAACCCGTGTCATCACGAATCCTCTTTACTAAGCCTGGATAGTACCCACTGTGTACCTGACCCTATCTCCTCTCCTCATTCACCCACAGACGGATACATAGGTTGACCCCACACCTGGGCTTTTATGAACAGCGCTGCAGTATACATGTGTGTAGATGTCTCCACATACTGACCCCTTCACCTTCAAATATGTACTTAGTGAGCTACTGGAGTGTGCAATAGTTGTAGTTTTGATTTTTAAAGGATACTCTCTGCTGTATTCCATAATGACTGTATTAATGTTTATTTTTATCTAGTTTCTTATTGACAGCCCCAGTATTTGTACTATGTCTACTCAGGTGGAGGGCTGAAAGCCATAGTCGTAGATCAGTTGTGAATGTAACTGCTGTGATTACTGAATCTATAACTTTGATTTGGTTGCAAAGAATCTAAGCCAAAATTTTTCACACTCTCTCATGAGATGCTATGGCTCTGGGCGATCATTTGTAAGTGCAGGAGACTGAATTTGCCAATCTGGTGTTTCTCATAATTTGTATCAGACCAGTTTTTCCAAACCTGATGCTTCTCTTCTTCAGTCTCCTGTTGACCACCAATAGTTAGGTTTTGGCTGCTGTTGCAGTGAATGAGAAAGTGAGCCATACATTGCCACCTATAGGCAGAAAAGCAGACTTGTGTAGCAGAGAAGCAGAACCTAGGATGAGTTTCTATTTTTCCCAACTGCTGCAATCACCACCTTCAACCTTGTTACCTAGATAGACATTAACCTGTTAAGCTGAGGTTGCCATTTCAAATGCCAGGTCCACCTCTGTCATTTTGCCACATCCCTGCTGGCACAGTGTCACTGAGAGTCCCGTCTTAAAAAGGTCCTCGGATTTCTCAAGCTGGTGAAGTCTACTCAGCCACTCCCGGGCCACTGTCCTAACTCTGTCCCCTCCCTGCAAGTGCCCGGGCTGGATGGGCACCTCCTGCCTCCACCCACAGTCTCTGCCTGGTGCTTCCCTGTAATGATCCAGGTCTGTTTCTGCTTTATTTTGCAGAGTGCAGCAGCAGCTCCCAGCCCTGTGCTAGGAAACATCCCCCCGGGAGATGGCATGCCAGTAGGTCCTGTGCCACCAGGCTTCTTTCAGGTACTGAACACGGGAGCCGGGGGTGCCTGCTGATTTTAGCCAAGGCCAGGGAGGGGGAGGCTGGGGAAAGAGAGGAAAAGAGGTGGAGAAGAGAAATGGGGAGGGAGAGGGAGAGGGAGGAAGGGGAGGGGAAGGAAGGGAGGGAGAACAGGAGGGGGAAGAGAGAGAGAGGAGGGAGGGGAGAGGAAGAAGAAGGTCCAGGTCCTTCTTCACTAAATGCAGCACTGTGCAGCCAGCTCCTGACAGATCAGAGGAGCTCTCTGCTGTGCTGCCATTCCTGCCAATGTTTCCCTGTTAATTAATTATTTAATTAATTAAACCATCACATCACTCATCGTCATTAAAAAGGAAAAGGAGTTGAAATGGAAATTAGCCTGATAACTAGTAAATATTGGTGAGAGAAGAAGCTAAAGAAGTGTTCTGGGAGATTCGAGTTTTTAACTACGCTGTGTCTGTCTCCACGGACCAGACAGAACCAGGGTCTGGCCGTACTTTCAAGCTATAGCTAAGTCACACTTATTTCACTTACCAAGAATTACAGGCCACATCACAATATATTTGAGAATCATCTTTGTGTCTTTTAAGCTGGAATTTAATGAATATCATTATATGGCATTTTAGGACCAGATTTCCAGATAGATACACTAGTATTTCAAAATTTCAAGTAGCTGCCACTGATGATAATGATTTTGGATTATAAGACATAACTTTGTAATTTGATTCATATCTTAAATCTGATAGTAACTATAGCCAACCAGGTTCTGAAATTTATTTTTATACAGAATTTTATAATGTTCTTTGAAAAATTTAAGAATTTAGAAGTTAAGAACTACAGTTGGAAAGCATTATAGGCATTAGCATAATATGCTATATTGTTAATAAATTAGGTACTTATAATTTGCCCCTTCAATTTTTTAGATTTTTAGAGTGCTTGATAATCATTTGTTAGTTAACTGATACCCTAATTGTAGGGCACTTACAAATGTGAAAATGGAGAAATAAAATTATCAGTGATTTTGCAAAATGCATCAATTGAACTAAAGGGTCTTAATTGGAACCTAGTACGACTGTGATCTTTTAGGACTGGCTTATTTGCTCAGCTGCGCCTGTGTTAATACTCAAGTAGTTTAGAATATTTAAGAGTCTCCTTACGCTCACATTCTGTCTCAGGGGTCCTTTCTTATAATCTAAGAGCAGATTATAATGCTGATTATTAATTAAACAGCCACCATTTAAGACAATGATAATCATAGCTAACAATAGCTGTTTCCTGTGTGCTGTGCTGTGCACTAAACACTTTACATATATAAACACTAAATCCCCACAGTAACAGTAGGTGCGAATGCACATTACTGTCATCGCCCCTGTGCAGATGGAAGAACCACTTACAGAACCAGAAGGTGACAGAGCTGGAATTTATATCAAGGAAGTCTGGACTAGGGCCATCGACCTTGCCTTTTAAAGGTCGTAGTTGATTGTTACTCATGACTTTATGGTCCGGCTCTCTCTTGCCAGAGATGGGTTGGGGTGAGGAGTTAATCGGAAGAGTTTTATCTCCTCAAGAGTTTGTGCAGAGCTCTGCTGAGAGAAGCCAGGGCTCAGGGAGGAAGTGCATTTCCTCTGAACCTCGGCCGGCCGGGTCACAGGAGTCCACACAACCCCACGTCTACACTTGGGGCACGTACCTTCTCACCTTCCGTCTTTTTTTCTCAGTCTTTTTTCAAGAGTGGTTGAAAGAGAGTTAACCTGGTTTGAGTGATTTCACAGTTAAATACTTGAGTTCCACTGGGTGCTGGGCACTGAATGGGCATCTCAAGACAGAGCAGGCTCCTCCCAGAACTCCCCCGTCCAGCCGAGGAGCCCTTATCCAAGGGAGGAAGCAGAAAGCCAAAAGTCCTGTGATCACCAGGAAGGGAGAACCACTAAATCAGCCTGTGCCAGCAATTCAGAGGCTGGGAGCGGTGTTCATCAGAGCAAGCAGCAGAGGGATGCCCTGAAGGGCGGGCCTGGTGTGAGGGTGGAGCGCTGGCACCTGAAAGACTGGGCTGATGTGTGGAGAGGTCATTCCTTACCCAAGTCGGGGAAGCCAGGAGTTCCTGACGTGAAGTTGGAAAGATGGTGCAAAAGGCCCTCCGGGCCAGTCAGGAGCAACACAGAGGAGCCGCTGGAGATCTTCCAGCAGGGCAGGGAATGGACAGCCAGTGCCTTCAGGCTTTGGAGGCGTCCGAGTATCTACAAAAGCCCTGCCCTCTACAGCCTACATCGTGGTGAGTAGAAAGAAAAGCAATGAAAAACCATGATACTAAACGGCAGATCATGTGCTCAGTGCAGATGAGGCCACCGAGGCCCATTCTGAGAGAGGCTGAGTGAGGAAAGTACTGTACAAGCAGTACCTGAAAATGAACTAGTGATAGGCAGAAGGGGAGAACATTCCAGGAAGAAGAAAAAGTAAATTACAGAAACTCAGAGATGAACAGAGAGGAAGAAGCTCGCCTTTTTCCTAGGGCAGTCACGAGCCATCGCCCGATGGTGAGCCAGCAGGGCACACTCAGGTTTGCGGTCTCCAGCTATGTAGCATAGCCAGGTGTAGTAAGGTGTAAATCAAGGTAGAGGGGTGCAAAGCAAATCACTGGGATAATATGCTGGTCTTAGGGTCTAATCTGAGCAGAGGGAAATATTTTTTTGTGACCTAAAGACCACAAAATACAGAGTAGGTTTGAGGCGGGGTAAGTTAGTTCTCAGTAAGAGACATGTAACCGGCTGACCTGCAGGTTTGCAGCTTGGACAGAGATCTAGACTAGAGATGAAAACAATAAGATGAAAACGTCATCAGAGTAAGAGCAAGGAGAAAATACAGATGGAGGGGCACACACCGCAGGCTGCAAAGAACACTAACATTCAGCGGCTGAGCTAGGGGAGCAGAACCCCCGGAATCCATGGCGGGGACTGGACACAGGTCTCTCGGTAGCTTGGCTGTCACAGGAGCCGAGGAAGAGACGTCCTGACCCCAGGTCAGGGAAGTACTGCTGGAAAGGGAGGGAGAGCTCATTGCTCTGTCTGCTGAGCCTTGCTGATTCACTGAAGGTAGCAGAGAACCCTGGAGAAATCAAGGCTGACTCTGGAGACACCAGAGACTGCAGGACAGGGTTGAAGATGACTAGGCATACTGGAGTTTGATACTCCAGGCATTCCCAGTCATCGGCGAGCTAACACATCCCTTCTCCCAGCCGGTCAGTGTTCAATGTGTCCAGGCTGCCAGGAATGCCTCCCCAAACACTGATAAGCGCAGACAGACAAACATTTAGGGATGAAGCCTTGCGCTGCTTCTTTTGGTCCGCACAGTGATGGGACCCAGTGACTCGCGTGTTTCCTAGACATCAGCCCTGACTGCGCTGGACTTATGCATAATGAAGGCTGCATAGTGTAATTCTTTACGTGAGTAGAAAGAGCAGCACATAATTACAATCCAAGTCCACACACGGAACTCTAATCTAGTTCCAGAGCTATATTGCTCTGCAAGTGATCCAAACCCGAGGACCATGTGACAGATATCATTTCAGAGGTCATAACGTCCAAGACAGACCTGAACAGCCTGCTTGGTCAGCACCAAGGGAAGAGGTCAGGAACAGCCAGGAAGAAGGCTGCATCCACTGCGAACTTGATTTCATAAGGCTGCCAGATGGGGCGCCCGAGGGAGCCAGAGGCTTGGATTCCAGAGAAGCCCTGGCTCAGGACGCAGATAGCCAGGCCTCCTGCCGTCACCTGTTGTAAAATATAAGCATTTGTGGATAAAAAGTAACAGGCTTCTCCTGTGAACTGATTATAGCTTACAGAGCATTAAGGGGTAGAGTCCCAACCCCACCTGCCGCTTCCCACTGGGTAGACTGTGCAGGTATTTTAAATTTGGATGCTTAGTAAGAAAATGTAAATTGTATTATTTGGAGACAGCTAAAATGGGACTAGACTACAATAGGAGTCAGCCTATTAAATTTGAGTAAATAAATTAGGAATAATAATTTATAATCAGTCCATAAGACACCACTTTCAGCAGGGCTGAGTCCTGTTCATTTTGTGACCGTGCTGTGAATTTGTTGAAACAGTTCTCCAAACCCGACAAGTGTTTTCCTTTTGTTCCTGTTTGAATTACACAACAAGGGCCCTCTTTGCCATTCCAGGTGTAGCCTTAAATTCATCACCAAATGAGAGAGTATCACAAACTCCAGAGTTCCGGAGGCAGCTGACCTCATCTCGGAATGGGTCGTTGCAAGGGCTCCCACCCCCTGGGAGGCGGCCCTCAGTTCGGATCTTCTTCTCTGTGGCATTGCTCACATGTAATCTCTGATGTCTGTACTAAAAGGTGAGCGTCTGTCACTGTAGAAGAACAATTAGGAAAACTCAGTGGGGCTTGTGGATATGCACCAGAAGTCACCAGCATAGTAAAACAAAGCCGTGCAAAGCAAGCAAAATGCATACTTACCCTTGGCATGTTTTATCAGGCGGCTGATTTGTCTAGAAATCCTGCAACTCCTACCACAGAAAGGTGAATTATGCTCGGGTAGTGTTCTTTACTCAGGAAGACCAACTGCCTGGGGCCATAGGAGGCCAGGAGAAGGGGCCACATGTACCCAGAGCTCGGCGGGTTGTTCTGTGTGGTCAGAGCCGCCCTGGCCCACGCTGGACCCCAGGCAGTGGTTCTGTTGGATCCTCCGAACTCTGAATCCCGTGGTAACAGTGTCATCTGAGGGTTACTCACAGCACGCATACAGAAAGACAAGCCAGGGGCTTAGACCAGCTACATTTTCTTCTCATTTGTGTATAATGCCAAAACAGTTTAGTGAAATATTCTATATAAAACAACAGCAAAGTACTCACACTTCTTGAGTTTTAAAAACTAGACTGTTAACTCTTACCTTTTAAGAGTATATGAAATAAATATACTGTAAAATATAAGAGTTTATGGATAGGTAACAGGCTTCTCTTGCGAGCTGATTATAGTTTAT